AATAAAGGCATCTGGAATCTAGAGCCATGGAAGAGTAGGAAGAACTCACCAGCAGAGACACAGAGACAGCGACAGAAATGTATCAAATACACATAAGAATTGGGGGTCTGAGGGGAATAATTCTGCTTGGTTCTTTAAAGGTTTCCTAGCTCTCAATATTTGGGGAGGTTTTTCTTTTGTATTTTTTTTTTTAACTGGGAAATATTGCCTTTTGTCTTTTTTTTTTTTTTTTTTTTTTTTTATTTAACCGTTCTTTGTTTCATAAACATCTTATTATGTGTTCAAACGCTATGCTCCAAATTTTTTATTCCCTCCCATTCCCCTGCCCCCATTTTTCTCCCTTGAGTACAACCCCTGGCATTTGCAATAAATCTTTAATTCACCACCACCTGAAAATCACTAAAGGGTATGTTTGTTTGTTTTTATTTCAAGTCAATTTTCAGAAACTAGGGAAGTAACTTGTAATTATATTACTCTAACAGTTCTGCAGAGAGCACTTAGCTATAGAAAGTGCTGCAAATGTTTCACTTTTTTATTCAAAAATTACACTGGCTTATCAAGATAGCTTAAAAATCAGTTAAAAGTCTTGTTCCTTTTTACAAACTTGCAGCACATAGTCTGCACAATGGATATAAAAGCTTTCATCGTGAGCACTTACTTGGAGAAAAGATCTGGCAGAGACTGGGTAGATTAACAGTCTAATATAAAATGTGGAAAAAACTTGTCTCCATCTCATTAATACCATCTTCTTACTTGGTCTCTTTTCTTCGCTGAATGACAATTTGTAAGCACAGACAACTGGAAAGTAATTTGCAGCTGGCTGACAGTCTACAGAAAGTCATCCTGAACATCTAAAGTTTATATGGAACAAATATTTTTAAAATCCCTTACAGCACAGTCATAGGCACTTCACAAACAGAATCTAGGATAATAACAGTCAATCATAGCTTATACTACTCAAAAATGATGACTTCCTTAACTGAAACACATCATTTTGCATCACAATACATATAAGGTTCTTTCTTTAAAGAAGAACTTTCTCATGTGTATCTGAAGATCCTTATGGCATAACTATTCTGATATTATCTCATTAGAATAGATTAATAGAAATACATTAAGAGTGGTCTGATCAGTTTCTGAATTACCTAAGAACATCTATTTTTTAATGAGGACACTGAAGCAAGAGTTACAGGCTAATAATGCATATTGGTATTTTTTTCATGACTGAGCATAGAGAAAGACATGCTTAGTGCAGTTAAAATTCACCATCTACGTGCTGCCAGTATTAGTAGTACTAGCATCTGACTGAAGAATGTGATAATTTGAATCAAGGAAATTAATGCTGAAGTGATCTTGAACTGTGTTGGACTGGTCAGATTCGAGATCCAGAAAACTAAATTTCAGATACTCTTATTAATTGTACAGTTGAGTAGCCTGTAAACAGTTTATTAGTTCAAGAATGGCCAACTCACCCTTACATTTAAGAACAATCAAAATAAACTCTCCCAACCTTGGGTCATTCTGCTTTAGTATTTTTAAATGTCCAGTGTTTATGTTCTACAGTAAAGCCATTCATAAAGTAAATAATCTCAGGAGCATTCATGAATCAATATACCTAGGAAAATATAATTCAGATCCAAGCCAACTATATCCAGGAGGACATATCATATTATAACTTTCTTTAATTATCTATTTGGAAAAAATAGATTTAAGTAAAATGAAATTTGAATTGAAAATTCACAGTAAATCTCCATAAACATCTTGAGGACTTTGGAAAAGACAATGCTTTTGCTAAGGGGAAAAAAAAAAAAAGTAGGAATGACATATCCAGGAATAAATTTAGAATGGAAACCTCTTCTTAATTATCAGACAAGTGGGCAAGCAGAATTACTTTTCAGAAGGGAGAGTAAGAGCAAAATTCATTAACTTCAAATGAAACTCCACGACTTTATTGAAGGTTTATATGATACAGTTGCCTACAGCAATGTTTTGCTGTATTTGGTGATCCAGGAAACCCTTTCAGTCCCTGTGTTTGTAATGATTATGCAAAAATTCTTCCCTAGAGTAAACAAATACGACCTATTGCCAGGCACCTGAGGAAACTATGTTTATTTTAGTGATGTCTTACAGATGTATGCAATGACATATTAAAAATACCCCAAAGATTTAACATTAAAAAAAAAAAAAATCAAATCTCAGGATAGATATTTTCCTGGTACATTTTACTTTCCTGTGGTGATTCTCAGAAGTTGCATAACATGGAGCCAAGTGGAGATTACTGCTATGAGCTAGTGGTATAGGTTCCACTTTTCCCATGCTCCCAAAGAAATTTAGTATAGTAGCTAAGGCAAAACCCAACGTGCTGACTGCTGTCTCCGAGAGAGATGGGAGAGATGGATGTTAGAATACAGTGGGAAAGGGAGCCATTTGAAGACAGAGAAGTCTGAGAAAGGTTCTCTCATATACTTAACTGTGAAGAAGCTTCTAAACTTCAAGGAAGCAGGAAATTAAAAACATTTTAGTTGTTTGAAATATTTTTCAAAATGATTGAAAACATTGTTTAATTGAAAGGGAACAATTTTCTTAGGTATCAAACAGTTCAATAGACTGACAAAATATGTCTGAATAATGGAAGTGTGGCACAGCTTTACATGTCTGTAACTCCTAGACAGATAACTAACCATGCTTTACAAGCAGTCCTCATCCAGGAGGCTACAAAAGATAATTTCAGGATATATCTTAATTCAGTATGGTCTTGAGGAAGGGATAGTGTACGAGGTGTGCAGCTCTAGTGTCCTTAAAAGCAAAGAATTCTTTTCTGCTTCATCCTTTCTTTTTCTCAGGGGGAGTAATTGTGATTCACTTCTGTTTCTTGCCACATGAAAAAAAAATAAAAAAAAGAACCAGCCCCGAGGTCTACCACTAACTGGTCAAGTAATTATACAGTAAGCAAGGGTATTTTAACCTATTGTGAATACAAGGTGAAAAGAATCAGATGGCCATGAAAATGCTCTAAATTGGAATGAAAGGAGATAGAGAATTTTGCACATCTGCTCCCAAAATCCAAGTGGCCTGATAAGAGCTTAAAAATGTGCTAGGCTTTAATTAATTATGGAGAATGTTAGTTCTTGCTTAGTGTTTGTTGTATGGCTCTACAGATACCAAAGCTTTTTAGTTAAATAGGAAGATCAGAAAAAAGCCTGTTGCTGAGAACAGCACGGACACTCCATAAAAATAAGGGTTGGTCAGAAGTGTCATAAAGGTTTGAGTTTGTACATGTATGATCACCCCTTCCCCCTAAAATGGAAGTTAAAGGCATGCCTTTGCAATTACGGTAAGCCAGGTTTTTTTCCCTGAGATAATTTTAATCAGAATGTGACAATTTATTAGAAGGCATTATGAAAAGGTCAGTTTTTGAAAAAGCTTCAGAAAGAAAGTTATTTCAAGTCAAAATGAAAGACCTGATAATAAGAGACCTATCAGAATGGTTCTCCTAACATTCATTAGGGGGTGAGAGGAGCAAGGTCTTAGGTCTGGTTAAGTGGCTATTCCTGTCTTTTCCATCAGAAAACTTCAGGTTAGGGGCAGTACAGAAAGGGAATAAGAAAAAAAGTTTAGCATCGATGTTCTGAAGCGATCAATCTTGCTCTATTCATATTTTTATAAGCATAACCCTTCTGGAACCATATCACCCTCACATTTTATCACTATCTCAATGAGTTATTTTACAGCAGTTTTACTTTCAAAATTTATCCTCAACAGGGAAAAAGATCATTTTATGAATGAATAGGGAAGTACTCAAGATCACTGAAACCTAAACTGGCCATACAAGTAAAGTTTTAAGTGGTAGTCTACTTCTACATTAATTGTAAAATGCCTATCCTACCCCTTTGTCTCTCCAAGCCAATTTGCTCTGTACATGCTCAAGTTTTGAGTTCTGAGTGCACCAAGTGGAATCGCATTCTTGTGGAATCAGAAGTAAAATCTATTACCTTTGTGTCTTACTCTAAAAATAATATTTGTGACTGGAGAGAGCTCAACTCTTTCATTAAGAGTTGAGGGCCAACACAGATGGGCTCATTAGACCACTGCAGCAATGTGCTTTTCTCTTGTTTTAGGCAAGAGGTGAATAATAGATTCAGCTATAGATTTTTCCCTTACTTTATCTTCCCTAGATATCTCTGTTTTCAGAGGGAATAGTGTAATGCCTTCACACTGATAAAAGTCAGAGCAAAAAAAACAGGGAAAATAATTTGGTTGCTGCTTGAAAGCATCTACAGTTTGCCAGTATCTGAGTGTTTGTCAGATACCTTCATAAATTTCATCTCTTCCTTTAACAGCTGTTTGAAGTTGAGAACCAGGCCCTCACTTGTATAAATTAGTACTGATTTGTAACTCAGTTGTTGGGATACATTTGCGCTCAAATAAATGTAAACATCCAATTTGTACGTCATAATTACACTGTGCTTAGCTTTTGAATTATAGAACTGCAATCTCTTTTGTATGTATATTGGTTAACAGTATTGTATCTCTTCTGCTAGAGGCAACAGAAAGATATTCTTATATTAAAAAAAAACAAACAAAAGATGTCTCACTGACGAAGCAACAAATTAAACCAACCAACTTGTACAATATAAAAGTCACAGTATTTCCATCAGAAAACAAAGGTTGATGGGAAACACTTTTAGAGGTCTTAGGATACTGCCAATTTAACAGTAATACCGCCAGCACCACCACCACCAAAACACCATATGCAGATACTGAAAAACATCTAAGATACCCTGTATTTAGCAGAGAGCATGCTTTCAAGGTGTCAAGGAGACAATAATAATATAGATTCCCTCAATGAAGAGAGAAGTAAATGCCATTATAAAAACAGACCCAAGAGCATACACTATTAGCTTTTTTTTTTCCCCCTGTTTTTGTACCTAATTAGAATATAAAACAAGATATAACTAGGAAAACCTGTGCTGACACTGAGTTATAAAACTTTGTGGAAAATGGCAGTATTAAAACTCAGGCAGATTTTTAGCATTGGTATGAACAATTAGGAATTGTTGACATTTTCTATCAGTGCAAAACCTCAAGTAGTTAACAGCTATACATGTTTCTAGGCAAACATAATCAAAAGGTGTTGGATGCCTAGTTTCAGGATTTGAAAAATGCCCATAACTAATATAACTTGATACAATGTATTTTAAAGTGAATTTAGAATGTTTTTAATCCTCTGTTCCTTCTTCATTCTCTCTCTCCATCTTTTATACATGCCATGGAACACCTTTCCATACACAAATACAATATGAGAGAAATGTAAGCGTATGCTTCATAGCAGTATAACTGAATTGCTGTAAAGGATTTTAAAGGCCTAAGCTCTTCTTTGAGACTCATCTTTATTTTTTTGAATACCCAGATTATGAAGAAGACATATGATAAATTAAGTCAGTGTCAGTTCCTCTCAATAACAAAACAAACAAAAACAAAAAAACACAACACAATAAAGACTTTTAAAGTAAAGTGGAGTTTGGTTGCAGTGAGGTTTGGCAAGTGTTTCTGACTGCCACAGCACATTTATAGCTAAACAGACAGCGTAGATTCTCTAAACATCCAAGCATAGCCATTTTTTTCTTGATGTTTCTAAATTATTCTTGCTCCTCTCATAAAAATCCTTGTAGCAGAACCAAGTATTCAGCAGTTCTTTGACAGGAGAGACTATTATTTTAGAAACACAACTATTTTTCTTCAAATGATCTTGTTGACAAGAGAAAAACAATGCTGGAGTCACTCAGAATGCTTCCTACTGCATGACAACAAACAAAAACCTTTATCACTTGCAATTTTAATGTGCTCTGCTTCCATGGAGTAAAAACTTATAAACTGTCATCTCCATGCCACCTTCTATCTTTATTTCCTAAAAATATTCAACTACAGGTCAGCTTTTGCAGGACTAGATATCTAGATTTGCTGAAGGGTCAAAAATTTACTTTTGTCCTAATTTTGACCAAACTTTGGACTGACAACCTTCTTAGATTAAAAGTTTAAAACTGTTGTTACAAATTTTCATTACAACAGAGGATAAAAATAAAAACCACCATCTGTGTTGTGTAAAATTTAAGCTCTATCCTTCTGAATTAGATTCCCTGCAAACTAGGTTGACATTATTTAGTTTAAGTTAGTGGACTCATGTTATGAAGCATTATAATTCAGTACCAGAAAAGAACACTATTCAGTCAGTTCATCTGCTTTCAGAAAAAGCAGTAGATAAACAAAGCAGTTCTGCTGCTCTCTAATTGACAACAACAAGAAAAAGATTGTTGAAGCTTTACATAAGTGCCCAGCGATGACTGAAAAAATAACTGAAGTGCAGGCAGTGAGCTTGTCCCCCCTTTCAGCAGTCTTCTCCAAATGTTTAGTTCTTCTCTAAATGTACAGTTGAAAGTCCTATCAGCATGAAGAAAAAAGAAATGTGCATGGTTTCAAAAAGAGCAAAAAAGCCCTGAAGCGAGTTCCTACACCCACTCCGAAATCCCACACATCCATGCAGTGCAGCTACAAACCCACATCCCAGCTGCAGCAATCAGCACCTCAGAAAGCTGAAGACAGAAGGATTTTTTTTTTTTTTTAAGCTTTGAAGTGCAAGGTTTTGAATGATAACTTACACATTCTTCAGTTTTTTTCCTTTTGCATTATTTTAAGTATTGTGTTGTTTATCAATACTCAGAAGAAAACTCTTTCTTAAACAGTAAACCTACCATGGAAAGTATTGCAGTACTTTCCCCCGCTGCCTTTATTTCCATATATCCAAAACCTAGTATTTCAACACTCTGCTCTAACTTTATATGGTGGATTGAATATGTAAAGAATCCTTAATCACTCTTTGTTTTCAGTGCTTGGTCATCTAAAAATTTGTACGTGTAAGACTTTCCATGTCAGGGAATATGCGGTGAGATATAGGAGGTCAAGGACAACCACAGTCATGATAGGCACAACTACACAGCAATTTTTAGGTACGAACAACTTGAGATAAAGAATCACCCAGAAAATCCTTTTTACTTAATGAACTTGCATATTTGGACAGTGGTAGCATGTTCTTAATAAGATATCTATTAGCGTTATAGAGCTGTGAAGTCTTAAATGCAATCATTAGTTTTAATTTTTTAAGGTATTAAGATGTACTTTACCTCTCTGTCACTGTCCTACACAAAGCAGTAAAGGAGCAGGCACTACTCTTACAATACTAAGAAGTTTGTGCATTGCGGTAAGTTGGAACTTTATCTTTAAAAATGGCAAATGATTTCTATGTAAATTTCAGTCACTCACTTTCATCTTATATTGAATTCAGTTTTAGAAATCAACAAATACAATTATAGACATGTGACTAACATTGAAGAATGCATAAAACTGTAAACTGAGCTGGACAAAGAAGATAACATTTTCCTTTAATAAATTCCTCTTAAATATTGATTGCTATTTCTCTTTGAGTTTTACTAGCTATCTTAAAGAAACTGTTATTTGAGCATAACGCCAGTAGAGACCAACTAAGACACCAAACATTCTCCAGTAACTTACATACTTAGTACAGTATGTACTAAGTACTTACCGTAACTTAGACAGTCACAGCTAAACTATTTTTAGTGATGCTTAGGAAGTCAGATCATTCTGGGAACAGCACGGTCTGTTTCATGTTTTTACAAATAAATGGGTAGAGGACTCAAGAACTAGCATTTATTTGGAAAATTGCTTGTTCTTTTCTTCCAGTAAAATATAAAAATACATAATATCTTTACCTATCACATGTTTATCTCAAACAACTCTCCACTTATTTCTTTAGATATTGTCAGTTTTAATTAAATCTGTTTCATTTCTGATTTCAAGAGACCTCTCAAAAATTTAAATCAAATATTTGAAGATAAATTTCACAGAAATACAAAAATTAAACTTGTGTGTTATCTCTTTCAAAACAAACAAACAAACAAAAAACTGTAAGCACTTGAGTTATTTAGATTCCTGAACATGTGAATCTTACATTATGATACTACACATAGAGTCCAAATTCTTTGGCAGAGAGTCACCTGGTATGACAGCAAGAATGAGAAACAGACATTGTTTGAAGCATCCTCCATAATGTTTTGAAAATCACATGGAGAAAAAAATACCATGTTTGGACAAAAATTGAGAAGTGTTTAAAACATATTGCACTTCATTAAAGTATTTAAGCCTGCAGTAGTTTATCAGTGCTCCAACAACCATTTCAGTGTTTTTGAGCTTTTTGTTTCCTAAACTAGATTCTTTTTACCGTGTTCCTTCCTGATCTTTATTCTCTCATTCCTAATCTTTATTCTGACAATGGCAGTCTGAAAGTCTCTTGGGTCCCCTACTTCCCCTCCTGAAACGTCAGACTCCTCTCAGCCCTTTTTACTCACCTTCATATCTGCAGTCCTCTTGAATTTTCAACATTTAACTTCCATTTCCAGCATTTTTGCTGTTACTCTCCTCCATTCCACCCCATTTCTCAAGAGCACAGTTGACTGCCAGTGCAAAAAGAAAAAAAAAAAGTTTTTTCTACAGTGCTGAAAAGTCTTCAGCTATCTCTAACACATCACACGAAGCCCTCTAGTGTCACCACTTCTGTTGTGTCAGCAAAGGCCATGCAATCTAAGCAAGCTTTTTTTCCTCCATCAGGCACTGCTTCTTGTCCTTTTTCGCTCTTCAGTTTTAAAACTAATGTTCCCAGACCAAGGTTACACTAGCTATTCCTTTTTTTTTTTTTTTTTTTTTTTTAAGGCTTGTATCTCTTTCACATAAATCCTACCCTATTCCTATGTACATTTCCTTGTGTTCTCCCACCTCACCCCCCCCACCAGCAGGGGATTATGAGAGCACCAACTCCCAGTTCTAACCAAGTGCCCTTTTTCTGCACCCCTCCTTCAAGCTCCAAGCATCATGAGGCACCAGTTACCCTTCAGGATGGCAAATTTCCAGTTCTTTCACTTTCCAAAGCTGTAGCTGGCGGTGCACGCTCAGTTAGTCTGAAGAGGTAGTTCATTAACAGTCTGAACATGTAGATGCTGTGTGAGAACAGATGATATAGAGCCTGCTCAGGCAGAAAAGTTGGGAAAGGATCGACTACAACAGCAATACACCTTTCTGAAAATTGGCCAAAATTCTTAGTCTTGTGATTTAAAAAATATGGACAGGTTTTCACAGGGGCAGGGAAGGCACAATAGTGGTAAAGGCCATCCAATTAAGTTTCTGCGCCAAAGCCTAGTTTTTCCAAAAAGAAAAAGGTTCAAGAGAATGAAGGGAAAGAAATATCTAAACTTAAAAAAATAATAATAGAAAAGTCCAGCACTATACTACTTCCTTATGTTAACTCTCAGAGACTTCTGCAACTACTTTGGCTGAAATAAAATAAAACAATAAAGGCAATATGAATATATATACCTATATATGAATCTAGAAAAGCCATTCAGAAAGGAAAATTGCACTTAGTTGCTTGGCAAAGTTATGAGCTAATAAAAATTCAACATTATTTAAAAAAAAGTGTCAGAAAACGTTAACAATAACCACAGTGACATTCCCACCTAAAACATATGCTATCATGGCAGCCAGAAAAAAAATCTATTCCTAATGGGACTATGTAAAATATTGCAGGTCTTCAGCTTTTGTAAAACAAAGTGCCCTCTCATTCCCAAATGATTTTTTGGGGAGAAAAACAAACAAGAAAACAAAAAACAACAAACACACAAACTCTTGTGTGTTTCTATGACAAACATCTTTCATTTGCATTATCTTTTCACAGTATGCTTTCTGCAGCAGAATCATAATGACCCCCAGGGAAATGTATCATTTATTCTGTCCCGAGAGAGTACATTTATGCCATATCATTGCTACTTTAAAAGAGGTTGCTTATTATCCTCAGGAGAACAATTCAGTTGCATTACCCTGCCAGTGGCTGCTTCCAGATGTATTTTCATCCTAAGGAAGAGCTGCTGCTGATGCTTTGTTGACAAGAAAATCAGATCTGTTTTCACAAACATTTAAATTCAGCCTTACAAGAAATTACTCTCCAAGTATCTATGCAAGTATCCACAAAAAAGTGAAGCAGCAGAGGCTGCTTTCTGGGTTCAGGGGTTTATTTTAGGGAAAAAAAGAAAAGGACACAAAAAACATTTACTTTAAAAAAAAAAAAAAAAGAAGGAAAGCATTACTTTGTTCTACTTGCATTTAAGAAACTGTAAGAATAAATTGTGCTTTAATTTTTATGATTATTTTAATCAGTGCCAGATACTCCTGAGGCAAAGGTAACTCAATAAATAGGACAACCTGAATATTTTATACCTGAAGATCATTAGATTGAAGAAGGATGGTTGCTGAATCCCAATTTCACTACTTCTTTTTAGGACTACATTATCCCCCCACACACCTTGTTCATCAACCATTTTTCAAAAAATAGGGATAAACAACTTCAGAAAAGTCCAGGGCACAAAATATAATAGTTTAAAAATGTTTTAGAAGAATTTCAGTGGAGATGGGTCTCCCCTGCAAAGCATCATACAAACCGTTGGAATAAAAAAAATCCCTTTCCACTCTCACTACTTAGGCAGAAAAAGAGAAGCAAATGGGAGCAGCTCTGTAACCATAGTAACATTTGCCTATTATTTCCAAAGAATTTCTGAAGCACCGAATTTTGGATTCTGCATTCTGGGAATAAAGTTTGTATCAAGGAAAAGAACAGAATGAGTATTTTGTTGCAGTGCCTTATAATAACTTTTAAAATATATTTTTTCCTGAGAGAAGTCGATTGAAAAAGGGGTCATATGCAAAGAACTACAACAAAAAAATGTTACTGTGGACATATACTTTTTTTTTTCTTTAATGAGGTGAAAGATAATTTGGTAACTCAGGAGACAGTATCTGAAATTTATTAGTATTCATGAAGACATACTAATTTAGAATGGCCAATTATAAGAAATTTGTGATAAGGAGTCTTTCCATGCATTGTCTGCTTACTCAGAAAATTATTTTTATTTCCTCCCCCAATCACCCAGACTCATGAATATGTTTCCTAGCTACTATTGCTTGGGTCCAAGTTTTCTCTCTGCCTTCCTTTCCCTTTCCGGGGACTTAGAAGCAAGTCTGAACTTACACTGAAGAATTGTATTCACAATATCTTACAAGTATAGCCAATTATTTTACCAAAACCAACCAACCAACCAACCAAACAAAAAAACAACAAAAAAAAACCCCACGCCTTTCCAACTTACAGTTAATAGTTCTTGTTTATAAGAAGTCATACTTAGAAGTCAAGCTAAAATCATAAAGTAACAGAAAACTTATTTAAAAAAATAAATCTTGAAGTTGAACTATATTCAAATTCACAGTATAAAGATAGTAAAGGGCCTATAGGGGAAGATGTATGAGGAACAGCTAAGGTCACTTGGCTTGTTCAACCTGGGAAAGAGGAGGCTGAGGGGAGACCTCATTGCAGCCTACGGCTTCCTCACAAGGGGGAGTGGAGGGGTAGGCGTGGATCTATTCTCTTTAATGATTGAGATAGGACCTGAGGGAAATGGTGTCAAGCTGTGACAGGGGAGGTTCAGGCTGGATATCAGGAAATGGCTCTTCACTGAGAGCGTTGTCATGCACTGGAACAGGCCCCCCAGGGACGTAGTCATGGCACCAAGTCTGTCAGAGTTTAAGAAGTGTTTACTATGCTCTTAGTCATATGGTCTGAATTTTTGGGCAGACCTGTGTGGAACCAGGGGTTGGACTCAATGATCTTTATGGGTCCCTTCCAACTCAGGATATTCTATGATTTGATGAATTTTTAGCTCAAATACACCAAGGTCAAGGGTTCACTGGATCTTTTTAGACTACATCAAGAGAGAAGGGAACAGAGAGAGACTTGCTGATTAAATTAGGTCCTTGTTATTATGAGAAAGAGTAGTGGAAGAAAAGGGACAGTAGCGTAGCACTTGGACAATGTAAGTTCAACAGCTTACACAACTCCAAATTCTGAGGATGCTGTGCAAGTTACTTCATCCACATATCTCATTTCTATTTCCAAAGCGAAATAGTATGATGATGCCCACACAGAAGTCAGTAAAGCATGCAAATACCACTGAAGTGGCAATTGTAATGCCGTGGCAAATACTGTCTAGGATCCTTATATTTTTGAGTAGCATTTTGATAAAATCTTGCATCTAGCTTGCTTTATTTTCTTAGTCTAATATTTCTTGTGAGAGCTCTCAGTTAGCAATGTTCTTCTATATCTTACATGGTCAAATTTAGATGATTTATTGCCTAATAAAGTTAAAACATTAAGATTTTATGTAAATTATATGTAGCTCCCAGGAGGTAACTAACCTTCATGCAAAACTGAGCTACCAGTTTTTCTTTAGGATACACAAGTTATATATCCTTTAAGGACTAATCCATGCAATGCACAACAGGATTTATTTGTATTTACATGAAGGTCAAATTGGTAACAAGAGAACTAGAATTCCCGAGATGTAATATATTTTAAATGCATCATGCCAAATGAGGAAAATATCCTTTTAAATTGTTAAGAGAAAATGTATCAGAAAAGAATACACAGTAACACTCTGTGTGTAGCCAATATAATTCATTTATCCTTGCAATTTCAAGTGAACTGAGTATTTGACTTCAAACAAGCACAATCACACATACTTCAGCCAATCAGAGAAGCCAAGAGAGTACTTCACTTGGAGATCCTTAGCTGGGTGTTGTGGATGTTGTAAGGATTGGCCAGATAGAGACCACTGACCATATCTTAAATTTAGGCTTAAGCTACAGCTGTAAAAGGAGGTTACTATCCCTGCTGACCTACTTTAGAGCATTTCAGTTCAAAGCTCAGTGATTCAGTTTGGGAAGAAGTGACTATTTAAACTGTTCTGCCTGATTTTGCCTAAGACACACAAGGTAGCATTTGCATCAACTGTTTCATCCGCAGATTGCTGGTGCATGACAATGTTAATCTTTAATAACAGGACAGTGACAATGAGCTGCAGCTGATAATCTTTCTTTACTCACACAATTATCTCTGCAAGATCCCTCCACAGCTTTTTTTTCTGCAAACACCAACTAGAAAGAGAAGGAAATAGAGACAAAGTTTCTGAGAAACCCCTACCTGACCTTTTGGCAAATCACACACAGAATCACAGAATCTCTAGGTTGGAAGAGAAATGATCCACCCTGTGCCATCATTTGTACATCCTACTCTACACTGCAATCTCAATCTTATGATAAGTGACAACAAGACTAGAGCAACTACTTGAACTAGAAAATGACAAATGTACTGAAATCACTGTCCATCCTTTTTTGTAAGAATGTTAACAATAGGGTTCGGTTTCAGCAGGGAGGCAACAGGTCTAGGAACACTGCTGATGGCAAAAGTAAATGGTCCTACTTTGCATGTCAGTATTGTACTGTGATTTTGTCATTACGCTTTTCCTCACACCGCCACCTCTGCTTGCCCAACAGCATCATCTCTGCACTGCACTGACAGGATGGAGATGGAATACTCTGCCATTACAACAAAATGGACTGTGCTTAGAATTTTTTCAAGACAGAATGCTCATGGCCCTGCCTAGCTCATGGTAAAGTCTGTGCAGTGTATTTTGTAACTGCTGGCTGATATGCCTGCTGTCAGCCAAGAAATTCTGCTTGCATAAAGTCTTTGATGTGATAAGCAATCACTCTTTCAGTTATGCAGCAATGCCAACTTCCATCACACACCAGCTAATTCATATCAGATCCTCCTTTTCTAAGGTTTATGATTTTTAACCTATTATAAGCTAATTTTGTCTTAAGGGCTGATTATAGATATGTAATCTCAACAGGATTTTTACTCAATCTAAGTTTATAAAAATAGCACAGTTTCATTTCATGGTAGGCAGTTCAGATGGAAAGAAAATTCCACTTCTAAAACTTCCAGAAATACCTCTCAATACAAACTTCTGTTTGAGGACCAGTTGAGCACTAAAATAACCAAAACAACAACAAACAAATGTCAGAGCAGATTTTGCGTTTGTCTGAAGAGGAAATAGTACAAAGAGGTGCTATAGGGACAGAGGAAATATTAAGTAGGAACAAAACTGTGAAATTCAGTCTAATCATAAAAAAAAAATAAAAGTAAAATAGAGGAGAATCCAAGATGGTTTTACTTTATTGGCACAGAAAAAGTGACCATATAGTCTGTTAGCTTTACTTGGTAGGTCCCTTCCAACTGAACTGAAAACCTATTTTTTTTTTCTTAGTGTCTCTCTTAATATCCCTCTCCTTAAATTAAAAGAAAAGGCACTAGATATGGAAAAATATCACTATTATTTGTGAAGGAGCAGACAGGTGGAAAACGAATCATTCTTAAAATACCATAGAGCTAACAGGAGGAGGGACACCAAATGGCATTGGGGGAGGGGGGGGGGGAGGGGAATGAACAGCCATAAATAATTTTCAGGATGCAGATTAAGCACAGGAGTTAATCAGAAAAAGAATTCTCAATTGTAATATGACATCTATTGTATTTTATTGTATGGCTGATGTCAGCTATTAGGGAAGTAATAGAGAACCTGGATGACAAGACAAGCCTCCAGTCCCTGCAAAAACATCTCTTTTTATCTTAACTTGTGACAGTAAATTTTATGTTCAGTTTTAAGATGTGAAACCTGACAGTTAAAAATCTATTTCTGTCAAATCACAATTAATTTAGTAAACATTAATCAAATGCAGAAGACTACGACAAATCATTAAGTTGTTCATTGAAATAATTCACTGCATGTAGAAAAGTCACCTACTGTCCTCAGACAACCTGCTAGAAAAAATACAAACCAGACAGAGTGCTCTGATATAGCAGAGCCTAATGGAAAGGGAAATGATGCACCAGGTTGTACGTTTCTAACAATGGAGTATTTTGATCTTCTTTATGTGCACGATCCTGACATGTGACCCTGTAACAGGTAGACACAACCAGCTATTAGGTCTACTGAGATAATCATCTGAAAATTAAGTGGCAATAAGTCCAAAGGATGTCTCTGTACTAAAGTTGCTAGGGCTTTCTCGGTCAATAGCCTGCATAAAATCAAGTCTCCTCTTATACCTCAGCACAAGCTGTAATGACTACAAATTACAGCAGTAATTGTATTATACAGCAAAGTGATTTGATTTATTGCTTACACGGCATACTTAATAAGTTGAAGTAAGATTATCTCTATGTTCCATTTTTGGAATCTATTTTTTAAAGAGTAGTTTGCTGTGACTTTTTTTTTTCCCCTCAATGTCTCATTGCTCTGACTGCCACAAATAATTAATGCCTTTTTTTTTTTTTTTTTTTTTTTTTTTTTTTTGGTGAAAGCTTAGCGTATAACTTTAAAGCACGGAGGTAAGTCTGGTAAGGTCTGTAAAGAATCAAGAGGCTTTGCTACCACCAAGAGATAAAGTGGAGTTGAATAGAGATCAACAGGCGGTCTTGTATGGCAGAGAGCTCTTCACGTGCATCTGCTGGTGAATGAAGGCAGGCAATTGACTAAACCAGATTGCATGAGCATTTCTGTTAGGTTACAGTTTATTTTAATCTCAAATCACATGATTAATCATGTGCTAGACTCCTTTTATTTAATATACATTCAAACCCCACTTATCTTAGGATATATTTAGTGAAGGAGCATCTTAGAAGGATATATCATAGGGCATAGGAATAGTTCTCCCAGATGAAAGTTTCTTTCTTCATAAAGCAGAGATAACAATTCCCCTGAGTATACTTCATGTAATTGTCCATCTGCATCTATTTTTGTTAGATAATGTCAACACTACAGAACTAACAAATCTGCTAGCTAAAACAGGTATGTACTATCAAAAGGACTGTCAATAACAGTTCAGTACATTAAAAATTAGCTTTCATGCTTATGTTACCAAAAAAGTATTTTATTCTATTTAAAAACAGTGCAGGTACCCTGCATCTCACAAAAGAAAAACCACTTGCAAGTAAGAACTTTAGACACTGTGAAATACAACTCTGTACGTTACTACTTTATGACTCCCAGTTTTAGAATTGTGAAAAAATTGAAGTTCACTGAGTTACTCCATAAAGGTGTATTGAAATTCTTCTATTGAAGAATTCTAGGCTGAAATTTAATTAAATAGCCACAAAATAGTTCAATTATTTCAATAGTTCTGCACCCTGGTGATCACATTGCTTTTCTGACAGCTCTGAAAAAATACTATGTTTAACACTGAACCACAGTACTGAATCCCTGTTACACTGTCAGCCTATTTACTTTTATGTAGAAGCATATGTTCCAGAGTGCAATGCAAATATCCTTCAACATGAAAACGTTAGTATTCATTACTTTCCCAGTGAAATCAGAAATGACTGTGATATATTCATTAACTCAAACAGATGCCGTCTTTGTTTTTAACACCCAGATATACTGCAACTATTTCAATTTACTACTGCTTACTTTCCAGGCTTTGCATTGAGTTCTATAAGCCTTACAGCTCATTCTAACACATTTCATTTGCATACTGTGGTGGAAAGGCTAATCTCAGGCCAAGGTCATGTGCTCTGATTTTTCAGACACAGTTAGCTGTTACACACCAAAAAAAGAATAACTAAAACCACAACATAATGAAATCATCACAACTACACATCCCTCTCTAGAGGCAGACAGGTAGGTCCTTTATCTGCTTTCTCCTACACAAATGCAGTGTCCTGGTAGCACAGACTTGTTATACTAAAACTAATGTGCTTGTTAAGGCATCAGTCCCACCTTTCTTACATGCTACTGCCTCTTTCACATCAAACACCTGTATGAGCCTCACCTTAATAAAACCCCTAACCAAGACAAAGCTTCTGCATAAGCTTGCATTATTGCATAATGTTGTGAAATCAACATAAAGGACAACACAGTGTGGTACATCAGTAAAACATCTGCATCTCTAATTGACTTCACAGTTCTCACAATCCCCTAAAATACTGTTACTCTCCTGTCAACGTCAATTACCATGAAGAAGTTTCCAAAGAAGCAGTGACACAATAGCTTATACTACCTTTTGTCAGATACAGAATTCACAGTGGTGTGCTTGGCTGCCCACAGCCCATCAGACCGTGCTTGCTTTTGCAGTACCTCAAACCATCGACACAAGGTTGCATTGTACATTTTTGTGCACCAAGCTAGCAATACTGGCTGTACCTTACCTCTTACACAGTGATCGAGTGATCGTTGTGTTTGAGATACTTGGCTTTTGCTAGCTTCTTCGCCTCCCCCCCCCCATTTTCTTCATTGTATTAATGGAGATTTAAAAGATTAAACAAAATCAATGCCAAAGACATTGCAGTAGCACTAAACACTGGTCATCTAGGTTGCTCTGATTAGATAAAATTGATTCAATTGAATTTGAATTTCACTGGAAATTCAAAACATAAATGTATGGAAAAATACAGTGATAGATGCATTATTATCACTTGTTTCAAAAAAATAAATTATTAAACATTGTAAACATTTTCACTACTGACACCCCATTTCAAACATTAAATAATGCAATTTTCCACATATTTACATAATACCAATGATTAAGTTATCAGAAATTTAATTGCTGCTCACAACAGAAATCAGAAATAAAAACAGAGCATTCACAATAGTTTTACCTCATATAAGATTTTGGCACTACAGCATAAGAAACAGTAAAACAACCAATCTGAAGCATGGAAGTAGCACTCTTCAGTTACTCACTCCTTCAACCACACTAAAGTCAGCTTCTTTCCCCCAGCATAAAATTTGCTCCAGCTAGTAGTAGCCCACTGAGCACAACCCACAGAAACACCTTCCTGCCTGGAGAAGACTACTGAGGTGAGTGCTCTCTTCGATCACAGCTCTTACTACATTACGGGGTCATTACCATGACAATTTAGTTCTTAAAGGAACTACAAACCCTCAAGGCCAGAATTATTTGGTAACCAGAGAGTAAGAATTTAGCCTTCCCTTACATTATTTCAGTGTAATCTCATGTCCCTCCAGTCTATTAGAGACACCTGTTAGGATTTATATTGAGGTAGTTTTGATATTCATCTGATGCATATGACAAGATATAAGCTATTCATATGAACATAGCAGAATTTTAATGAAAATTACCTTGGGATTATCATTACTTCATGCAGATTGCCATTCAATTTCCTCTCAAAATAATACATGCTTTTTCACAGTTTATAATTATATCATATTATCTCTTTAACCTCTATAGTAAAACCAAAGTTTTGGAGTAGAAAGTGTGTCCTGCAGAGAACTAATAGAGAACATCTAGAAAGCCAAAGGTTAGAAGAGCAGTTTGAATTCCTTTCCGTTCTATGGGAAGGGTTATGTATAAAAACTGCTGGCAGACACTTTTAAAGATACAACTTTAAAATATCACAGAAAGATAAAAGTGATCAATCCATACGCTATGAAATCATCCCATCTGGTTCCAATACACAGGAAATTAATCCAGACCAAATCAAAAACCACATATATCAGCTTAAAACTATTTGAAAAAAGAGTTGAACAATCCACAATAATCAACTATGAAAACAGCTGCACCAAAGATTCCCAAGCCAGAAGAACTTAATCCTATAAATTGGTCTTCCTAGCAGCAGCAGAGTTTAAGACATAAATCAACGTTTGAAATACGATTCTAAAATAAGAACAAACAAAAGTTGTCTAGAATGCTTCCATAATCACAGTGAGAATTCTGTCATTCTTTTCTCTAAAGGAACAGCTTAAATTGCCTAAGAACTGCCATTTTAGAACATTTGATTTCTCTGTTATCATCTTCATACTCATTTACAGTAATTTTCACGGTTTAGAAAAAAGTCTGGTAAACAAGCATATCAATTTTCTTCTTAAAAAAAAAAAAAAAGTACAGAATGGGCAGCTGCATAGTGATATAGCAGCATGCCTCTACCCTGATTTGCAATGAATTTGCTTTCCTCATTGAAAATGAGGAAAAGCAAATTGAGGTAAAAAGTTTAGACTGACTTTTCACACGGAGAATTAATGATATTCTTACTATGCTTACTATGAATCTCAGTATTATGAAAGGGAAAAGATACGTATATAATTTAGTACCCCTTTACGTACATCAAAGCCATACCCCCTTCTTCTCTCACCTTTCAGCTGTGTCTTCTGAAAGTCAAAAATAGTCAATATATTTCTTTTTATTCTTTATAGGTTTGTTGCAAAGTCATTGAAATTAATGCAAAACCTCAACTTGCATTTAAATTCTAAATAAGGCTGTACACGGTTATTTCCTTCGATCAGAGGACATGAATAGGTCATATTGGCTGTAATTCTGTATTTGTCTGGGAAAGGCCTGTGACATTTGGGCTTCTTAGTTGTTTTTATTGTGTTCATGGCAGGGATGAGAAGTAGAGCTGGAAAAGAAGTGGGGATCATATTGGTGATCATCTAGTGAATGCAACTGTGTATCAACTTCATTCTTCATGAAGCTGAAATTAGAGTTCGCCATTTCAGAATTAAAATTTGAAATTATTTTTTTTTTATTACTTTGAAAACAGCTGTAGCAGTTTTGGTATTACTGTGCTGTATTTGAGACTAAACAGAAAGCTCATTTTGCACTCCTGTGTGAAGTTGTGGTATTACTTGAACCTTTGGAGCAATGATGCATGCTAAAATAGATAACTTCACTGAAATAATGAAAATAAATTCAATAACAAGGATCATAACTTTCAGCAGTTTAAATAGTCAGCAAACTGCGTCTCTCTCTCCAGATAGATCTGCAAAAAATATGCTTGTGTTGCACAGGGACTTCCTGAATGTTATTAAAAGATATTAGAAGCTTTGTATGAATTTGAGGACATATTAACATGCCTAGTTTTTGCTTTGTTTGCTTTGGTATATTATTGTTTTTTCAAGTTCTGAAAGAGAAAAGCATCTTTTGGAACAGCTAAGAGGAAAGAGGTTTATCTCATTAGCACTACACAGATTATGCTTAGATGAAAGCTTATGGAAAAGCAAAATGGGTATAGAAAGGGGATACTACAGAATGATTCTTGGCATGCTTTCGACCCTGAAAACATTACAGAGAAAAAGGGACCTAATTTCTGAAAAATTTACTTCTAACTACAGCAAGATTTACTGCAGTGGGGAGGAGAGGCTCAAAATACATTATTACTGGCATCAAGGTATCTACTTAAGTACAACCTTGATGAATTATTTCTAAAAATAGTATTGATGCAGGTAATCAAGCTTACATTTTTTTTGTCAAAAACGGGCATCCTCCTGCCTTCCTCCCCCTTGATATTGATTGCTTATAGTAGGAATATGTTTAAGAATGATAAAAGGCATTTTAGTCAATGCAGACTGCGGCCACTGACATCTTGAGGCACATGCGTCAATTTGTTTGTTTGTTTTTGTTTACATGTTTCTTTTCCTCCTCTGTTAAGTGCTGTGAGTTACACAGCTCCCACAGTAATTGCTGTTCTACTTATTTCTCTGATTACATTTTGCAGTTATGTTTTCAAAGCACAAATAATTGTTGACTTTTGCAACAGCAGCACCTCACAAGCAAGTACACAGTTGAAAAATAAGATTGGAGGGAGAATAGAGAATGATGGGCATACCATGAAATAAGTGATTTTTCTTCTGGTTGTAATGCTGATACAATAAAGACAGCAGATAAGATTCTCCTATATTAACTATATGTCATTTAAAAGTTAAGTAGCATTTCAAATCACAAGATGTATTCACAGAAAATACCAGCAATATTGTGGCAAAACCTTGACAAGAATTGATGCTAGCAATTTTGAACCTCTGACAATGTATCCACTGAGAACGTAGCTACCTGAACAGTACAGCTAGTACTTACCTCCAATGAGAACAGTTACTGCTTCACTGGCACATTCAGAAACTCAAATAAAACTGTGTATTCTGTCTTATTCAACCCTAATTTGTATTCAAGTAGGGATGTCAAGGTCTACAAAATGTAATGTATTTTCTCTTTGTAGATTTCACATGTATGTTTTTCTTCATAATGCTACAAATGTCTTCATTCCATTTAAAAAAAAGACTTGAAAGCCAGATTAGCTACAACAACAGGAAATCCATGGACATACATGAGACAAGAAAGAATTTCTAAAATGAAAAAAATAATACTCAGCCCTGCCCTTCCAAACTTCACACCTTAAACTTTCCACAACTATATTACAAATAAGAGGGAAGACAAATTAGTATTTTTTATAACTAATATTATTAACAAAAGACATAGATAAGATAGATATAACCTTTATCTATACACAGAGAGCATGTCCAAATTACCCAAATGTAAGAGCTACAGAATATCTCATGATACTCCATACCCAAGAAGAAATTTTCACCATTTATTTTAGTCATCAAATGAAATTAAATAAATGGCAATAGAAGATAAAGTTCCACATACTATCTCCTATCCTCTGAAACACACTGCGTATTGAGATATTTCTGAATTATAATACCAAAAAAAACTTTAACAGCATGGGTATTACAGGGGCAATAGTGAGCTTTGTTTGTGGTGCAGCAAAATTTAAGTCCACTTTTAACCATGAAATTTTATAGAGAACTATTTAGGACAACAAATAAACATGAAGTCAAAGAATCTCATTTATTTCCCACATATTTAGTCTGACCATTGAACCATTGACCAATTGACCAAACAGGCAGAGAGCTTGCTGCTTTGGTCAATCACACTTAAAGTCTGTAGTTCCAAGAGGGTGGTTTCTAATGGTGTGCCTAAATAGAAAACACGTTGCTCATAGAGGTGTTTGGAGCTTTAAAGCCCAGCCACATTGACACTGATTTCAAGCTGAAGGCCATCCCCAGTGAAGACAGAAGGCATATATCAAGCACATCTCCCTTCATTTACCCATTATCAGCTTCATTACAAGTCCTGCCTCTTCCCATCTGCCATACCTCCAAGATGCCTAACTCCACCAGTAAGTAAATTCAAGCTCTTATTCAAATTTGATTTAATACCCAGAACCTAAAATACAGCCTTTCAAACATGCTAATACCTACATTTTTTTTATGGTCCTCAGATATCATTAGTAATAACTAGTAACATTTGCAAAGAATAAATTAAATATTTCAAGAAGGGAAAATTTTAAATTCTATTATGTCATGGTCAAATCCATTTTGATATCTCTTTAATGGGGATGAAATATGGCATATATACACCTTATTTAGCAAATTTCTCATTTGTAATGTTGAACATCTTTGGTTTATTCATGATCATAACTCTTACTGCTGGACTGTCTGACATAATTCTATCTTAGAATCTGTTTAATTTGCATGTGAAATAATATGTTCATAGCATGTCTTGGCATAAATACAACTTAGAAAAGAAGGAAAAATTAATAGAATATTAGTAGTATATTTATAACTACGAGGCAAGAACAGGATACTACTTATGCAAATTTCAAATATTTAAAAATATAATTCTGAAAAGGACAGAAAAACTCAGAGTTAAATAATTACTCTTGATAACATCATTCTATTTTACTCAAAAAATTTAAATATGTAGAAATATGGAACTGTGCTGCTCTTATGTTGCAAAAACAGGGATCGAAAAATAATTCAGTGCCCTGTCAGACTATCTGCATAGCAACAAAAAAACCCTGTTAGTATCATTCAGCCTGCCTCTCTCTTCCAAACTATTCTTAATAAATACACTCTTCCCTCTCCTTTCTTCTATCACGTTGTGTTGGAAAGGAAAATAGAGGTTGAGGAAATATCTCTACTACAGTGATTTTTCAGTGTGTATTTGTGATATTCAGTAAAATGAGGTTAAACCTCTATTTTTATGTTCTTTAAAGAACAATATTCCCATGCTGTAATACAAATAGTGGTGATAGTAACAGATATATGGTTCCCTCAACTGCACAGAAAACTCCCCCACTAATTTCACAGAAGTCAGACTTCCATCTA